TGCCAAGGCCGTTGCCTGCGGACAGGCGAGTCTGAGCATGCCCAGACGGTCCTCCAACGACACGACCTCGTCCGGGGTCATGCGGGAGAGGGCGTCCACCTGGTGACAGGGGCTAAAGAAGGCGCCGGCAAGCTGGAGTTCTGGGAGTTGCGAGCGGATAAACGCCAAAGAGGAGTCCAGCGCCGCCAGGTGGCCCTTGTGCACGGGGGCGAAAGTCCCGTGCAAGAACAGCACGGCCGGTTTTCCCTTCCCACCAAAAGGCCATCGTGTCGCCGCAAACTCGTCCGTCGGCACTGAAGCGGCGGGGTAAGGGGTGGGAGACAGTCTTCGACGAGGCGGAGCTGGCTTGCCGAGCAAATTCTCCGAGGTAGCAAATTTTACCAACGACAATTGAAAATTAGAATTGGTGATTAGTTGATACCGTTTCCGCTTTACAGACTTGGCCGCCTCAATCAACATGCGTCGTCTGGTGACCATCATGTACGCCACAGCGATAGCCCCGGACCGGTTGATGCCGGCTTGACAATGGACGAGCACACGGCCTCTGTCTTGCTTCAAGGCACGATCGAGGTACTCGCGCGACTCGGACCAGTGCTGCATCATGTCGTAATCGAATTCATCCTTTGCTGATATAGCTTTGAACTCGATATGATCTGCTGCGTAAAAGTTGGCTGTTGTGGGCACCTCCAGCGGAGCCAAATTCAGGATGTGAGAGATGCGTTTTGCACGGAGGGCGGGCAGGTCTTGAGCGATTAATCCATTGGAAAGAAAGAGGCCCGGCATGACTTCGGATAGTTTGTCCCGTATCTCGTAAGTAGTCGTAGCCAGCGCCGTGGACAATTCTGTAGCCATTCGCCGCTCCAACTCACTCAGGCTTGCCAGATCGATGTAGCCGGGACCTCGAGGCGTGGTGCCGCCGGGAAGTCCCAGTGGATTGTCGACATTCATGTTGGTTGGACAAATCTGAAGTCTCTGCTACATAGAAAAACAACAGGCCACCACAAAGTTCATTTTCTGTGGTTCAACTATACGCCAGTGGGGTTGTATTTATGTGTAGGAATTGAGCGGATGAGATCGCAATACTTTGGGCAAAAGGTGAGACTGTGATGGCTCGAGCGTCATGATACGTACTATCCTAGCGCGCTGGCTGCTATATTAACAATGCCCGTGTTCCGGGTCATGCTTTTGGCATTGGAAGCATCAGAGATCAATAGAGCCCTACGTATTTGAGCTATAGAAGGCCCCCTCGAGGCTCTTTTTCATTGTTCTAGTCAAGCCTCAGGTCGCGCCTGAGGTGAGCTGAGGCAGGTCGGGCGAGTCACTCGCCTGCTGTGGGACGGATCTTTTTCGCATGTCTCAAAAGATGGAATGCATTCGAAAACTTAAAATTTCATGCAATTCGTCTGTGCTTAAGCTATGTAATTCTGTGTGCAAGTTGCAGTAGAAGGCGCGTGACATTCTATGCAGGTGTGATCATGACTCTCTCGTGTCGTAAGGCAAAAGGACACACCCCCACCCACCCGAGAGGACTCTACCCACATACTGATGGCGTCTTTGCTGGTTTCGATCCAGGAAAAAGATGGAAGAGAGATTTTCTTTAAATCATTGAAATCAACCATACGGAACTCCTGACATGGAAAATTGGGAATGTTGTAGTGAATGGCTGCAGTCTATGACGGGTGGATAACTTTCACCGGTTGAAGGGTTGACTACCGATACTAGTAGCTTTCAGGCATGTGCCGGAGAAGAGATGTACGCTTGTTACTTTCGTATGTATACCTTAATATATAGCAAAGTTAATCACTAAAAATATATAAATATATATACGTATCTACATAGTAATATATATGAGAAATGTTCATAAAGGATTGAGGAAGCTTAAAAATCCAAACGACGGCTCGGGAGGTAAAGCAATGTAACATCATTTACGAGCCTTTGACGGTCTGTTTCAGTTTTATTCTCCATTTCCTTCGTGAATTTTAAGATGGCATTACATTCGTTCTAGTACCTCGATTCCGAGCAAATCTAGACATAGACGTAGCACTTGAGCTGTGAGAACGCAGAGGGCGCGCCGTGAACGAACCAGATCAGGGGTCGGTGCGTTGTTCACCTGGCAGGCCTCGTAAAACTGGTTGAATTTCTGACATAAATCGTACATGTACTCACAGAGTATGTGCGGGTATAATTCAGCCTCAACCCGCTGCAAGAGCTCGGTAAGCTTGATGAGTTGTCGGGCCAAATTCATCTCCGCCGGCTCTGCAAGCACGACTGGCGGCGTGCTCCCCTGAGAAAGCCTATCCTCATTTTCACCGTTGTTGCCTTTACGAAGTATACTTTGAATTCGGGCGTAGGCGTACAACATGTAGGGTGCCGTATTTCCACTGAGCGAGAGCATCTTTTTGTAGGAAAACTTGTAATCTGATTCCCTATTTAGAGAAAGGTCAGCATATTTGACCGCGCCCAGGCCGATTATCCTCGCGCTTCTCTCCAAATCTTCAGGCAGAGGCTGGGTGCCCTCTTCCGCCCGCTTTAACAAATCATCACGTGCAATACGCACGGCTTCGTCCAGTAAATCCTTCAGCCTAACCGTCTCCCCGGCCCGTGTCTTGAATTTCTTCCCATCCTCCCCTTGGACCAGCCCAAAAGGCACGTGCTTCAACTGCACCTCTGGAGGCACCAAAGAAGCCTGGCGGGCGACTTGAAAGACCTGGTCGAAATGCGAGGCCTGCCCCGCGTCGGTCACGTACAATATACGTTCTGCCTTCTCCTCCAGAGCCCGGTGACGCGCCGCCGCTAGGTCGGTCGTTGCGTACAAAAAACCCCCGTCCGACTTCTGGACGATGAAGGGCTGCGCCTCCCCCTCACGGGTCTGGTACCCTTCTAGATAAACGACCCGAGCGCCCTCGCTCTCTTTGAGCAGGCCCGAGGCGTCCAAATCTGAAAGCACTTGGGCCAGCAATGGGTTGTAGAACGACTCCCCCCGCTCCTCCAGACGCACTCCCAGGGCGTCGTAGATCTTTTGAAACTCGACCCGGGAGAGTTGACAAAGCGTGCGCCAGGCCTGCAGTGTGGCCGGCTCTCCACGCTGAAGGTTCACTACTTCCTGCCTGCTGCGCGCTTTGAACGTCTCTTCCACGTCGAAGCGCTGCTTGGCTGTCTTGTAGAACTCAACCAGGTCGCCCAGATCCGTCTGCGCCGCCGCCTCGCCCTCGGCCAATACATCTGGGTGCCGGTCTTTCAAATGCGTGATCAGCATCCCGAACTGGGTGCCCCAGTCGCCCACGTGATTGAGCCGAAGCACCCCATGGCCCAAGAATTCCAAGACCCGTGCCAGCGTGTCCCCAATCACCGTGCTTCGCAAATGTCCCACGTGCATCTCCTTAGCGATGTTGGGACTGGAAAAGTCCACCACCACACGTTGTGCTCGCGCGGGTCTGGGAACGCCCAGGCGACCTGTCTGGTCGGACAGCATCGCGTTCAGGCGGCTCTCCACGAACGCAGGCGTCATCCGCACGTTAATAAAACCTGGTCCTGCGATTTCCAACGGCTCGCACCATTTTTGCGTCCGACTTTCTAGTGCGTCTTTCAGTTTCTCCGCCACGTCTCGTGGCTTCGCTTTCAGCCGTTTGGCAAGGGCTAAGGCGGCGTTGCACTGATAATCCCCGAACTCAGGACGCGTTGCCGGTGTCACCATTGGGTCGGCACCGTCCGCGTCAGGCCCAAAAGCCTCACGTAAAGAATCACGGACTTGATATGTGAGCGCACGTCGGTAGTTGCTTGCTTCGAGAAGGGATGGTAAGTGTTCGGAGGGCGTCGTCGTAGCGGACAGTTGGACGGTACGAGAGCGCTTGTGCGGTGGAGAGGAACCGGAAGAGGAGAAAGAAAAAATTCCTTTACAAGAGGGATAAAACGACGATGAGGACATACTTGGCGGAAGGATAGGCCGAAAGCCTGCCCCAATGTGCAGAAATCCGAGCTGTGGGTGGCTTGAAAAAGGAAGTGTCGACAGGCGATCGTTAATGATAAAAATACGGTTGCACCTCGACATATTATAGCAGTGCTTTCGGGAGCATGCGTACATCTTAAGAAAACGAGCAAAAAAATATACAGCATAAAACATACGTCAGATTGTCTCTCGCTATCGTACCTGTGTTGCTGCCCTTTAAAGAGATGTCGACCTCCTCTCCTGATGCTTCGTGTGGCAGTCAATGCGACAAGTCGGCTACTGCTAAGAAGCTGCTGCGAAAACAATAGCATGAAAAGCCTTGACATAAGACGCATCGTCTGCCACGTCTGTCGTATACAATTGTGACATTTAAAATGGTGAATTTTCGAAAATGGCACCCCAAATCCTCCAACAAGCTGGCGCCCAGTACATAACCTCCTCCCTAACTCCCTTTCCCCCCCCGCCTAGAGCCACATAGAACCAGGCGTAAATTTTTCAATCTCATTTCACCCAAAGCTCTCCTTACTGTCCCACGCGCATGCACTCTTGATTCTAGGTTGATTATGAAGGAAAACGCTAACCCTACTATCTATGCCGTGGAGCGTAAGCGCAGGGTAAGTACGTGCTGTTTGTCTCTTTCGTATCGGTGTGTCTTTCCTTCCCTTCCGCCCTCAGGCCTCACTTCTTGGCAATATTTGGTCACAGGATCACCCGATAAGCAGCCACGTGGAAACAAATTGGGACGAGGATGCTCGAGACGCCTTTACAGCGGAGGAGGTGTTCGAACTAATCCGAAATTTGAACGATCCCGAGCACCCGTTGACTCTAGAGCAGCTGAAGGTAGCCACGCTCGAAAATGTGCGCGTGGACGACTCCCGCTCCACGATCAGTATCCGATTTACACCGACTATTCCTCATTGCTCCATGGCGACCCTTATTGGCTTATGTATACGTGTAAAGTTGTTGCGGTCATTACCACAGCGCTTTAAGGTGCGCGTAGAGGTAAGTCCGGGGGCGCACGCATCAGAAGCTGCAGTGAACAAGCAACTCAATGACAAAGAGCGAGTGGCAGCAGCTCTGGAGAATGCTCACTTGTTGGGTGTTGTAAATAAGTGTCTGGAGGAGACGGAACACTCAGGCGTGGACCTCAGACAGTAAACGTTGTAAGCGGAAGTTACATATGTACATGATCATATCCGGGAATGGCTTGCTTGAAGACGCCTCTCACCTTCAAAATATGAAAAATAAATTTCGTCAAGGTTCAAGTCGATCAGATGAATAACTAGCACGCGAAAGTACTTCCTTTATTTTCTTTGGAATGGAATGCAGGCACATGTTTACTTGTGGTCTTTGCAAAAGCGTTCTTCCCGCAGAAATAACATCATGCCCCGGTACCTTCCTATCGCAAAACGCTCTTAAAATATCCGACACGACATGTCATTTACAACTTACGACAAGGAAGCCAGGCGTCATCGCTTAGAGCGGCTCCTAGCACGTCACCGACAGGGCATGGGCGCATCTCGCAGATAGTAAGCATCCCGCACATCCCGTTGTCCTCTTGATCCATGCCTAGCCAGATTTCCACCATCTCGCCCGGCCGCTCTTGGAGGGGCTCTCTCTCCTTCCTCCATCTTCTCGTACGTAATTTGCGGGTGGTTTGGGTCTTCCCTCTTCTTACCTTCTGCCCCAGTCTCGCTGCCTGCAACCACCTTGCGATCGGCAGACTTAGCAGACTTAGCCCTCCAACGCTTGGGCACCAGTCGAAAAGACGAAGACCTGGAAAGAACCAAAATCAGGCAGTAGCGGCAGGTAAGGGCGAGGCGAAACAGGTAGGCGCACAGACAGATCGTCGCCAGGGCCCAGCACAGGCCAGTGCTTGCGCTCAAAAAGCGTTGTAGAAGGGATGCCGACGCATAGCATTGGGATCCTGCCTCGGGCGCCCGCCCATGGAATGCAAGGCAGGCTTTGGATGACCCGGGACTCTCGCCGGGGATGATGCACGCGCAGCTCAAGACGGCGAGATCTTC